GGTCCCGGCCGCTGCAGGCTCCACTGCTGAGCCCCATCAGGGGCCTGGCGGTGGACCGGCAAGGCCAGCAGGAGTTCGAGGAAGCCCCGCCAAGGCCCTCCCTGGCCCCAGGCAGGCAGGGGTGGGGAGAGGCGGGGAGGAAGCAACTTACCCTCCCTCTTCTCCTGCCTCCTCCTAGCTGAATGAGGGCTGGAAGGGGGGCGGCCAGAAGCAGGGGGCAGGGCTTCGTCGTGTGCCCCCCCGCACCTCACCCAGGGGAACGGCAATCCCCGCGATCCCCCCGAATCGACCTCTGGCTATTGTAGATTATTAACATAGCATAGTTCGCTATGAACAAAACAGTGTTTGTAAAAGCAGACCCCCCCCCCCTTTCAGATTATTTCCACTGGTATCACAGCAAATACCATCTTTGAAGAAATTACTTTGTTGTGCAATCAGAAGTAGAATTACAACTTCCATTGATGGCAGAGCTCTGTTTAGGATTCCACTGCTAATGTGACAAATCCTAAAAAAAAATTAAAAATCATTTCAAGTTGCTACTTTATTCAAAATATTTTAGTGAATAATAGGCTAACAGTACAATCCCAAATAGAATCACACTGTTCTGACTCCGCTGAGGTGAACAATCTTAGAAGGGTGTCCAGGTATCTTTAAGAAGTGTGCATGCACACAAAAGCTTATACCCAGAAACAATGCTCCCTCTAAGCTGTGGAGTCTTGTGAGCAAAAATCCTACTTTGTGAGCTACTGGCATTAAAGCTGTGAGTGAGCGATTTGGCTACTGCATAAATTAGTTTGTTCTGGAGCCATCCTTCCTGAGCTATGACAAAAATCTGTGAGCTGGAGGCTAAAAAACTGAGCTAGCTCACACTAACTGAGCTTAGAGGGAACACTGCCCAGAAAAAAACTTTTGTTGGTCTTAAAAGTGCCACTGAATGGAAACTTTGTTCTGCTGCTTCAGACTAACATGGCTACCCAGTTGAATCTAGCTTTGAAAACTTTATTTCATAGCCACGAAGAGTTTTATACTGAAGAAGGCCCTGTTTATGACAACCTCAATCACCATCAACAAGATATTCTAAGTAAGTTATGCTTAAGAATTAGCATTTATTATAATAAACAAATCTATTCCTTATAGGGGCGATGGGAATATTTAGCAGTTCTAAACTGTGGTTTTATATTTTGGTTTTATGTATTTTTATGTATTCTATTCTATTTACTTTACAGAGCTGCCTTGAGCTCTGTAAGGATGGAAGGTGGCAAATAAATGTTTTAAATAAATAAATAAATAAATAGATAAATATTGTCTTATGTATATCTTGCTTTCAAAAGGGGGTAGAAGGTTGTAAGGAGCACAGTTGTCTTTTATGTATGCAAACAATTTTTTTTAAAAAGTTCTAACTATCGAGCACTGAGCATGTTCCATCATAATATATATATATTTAATTTTGGGTATTTTGTGTGTATGTGTGCGTGTGCCCATGCCTGGAAGTCATGGCAACCTCTGGCGACTCCTACTTGGGCATGGAGGACGTTCAGAGAAGTCTGCCTCTGCCTCCTGGCCCTTCTGAGATCAGGCTTGCCTGGGCTATCCAGGTCAGGGCCCATCATAATATTTTCATAGTCCAGGACCTTAACCTCTATGTCTACTGTATCACATATTTAGAATTACCATGCCAAATAATTTTGAATCACCTGTCTAGTTCAGGACTTTTAATCACATGCAGCATCACTCACTTTTTAAATTTTGATCTCCAGATGAAAGTTACTATGAACAAATGAACGCCCATTCTCAGACGTCCAACAATGAAGTACAGGTATTACCATTGATACAACAGCATTGTTGTTCATATTTGGACATTTAAAATCAGTGTTGCTTGTGTGTATTTAAATGCCAGAATTTAAAGCATACTGCCTTGGAGCTAATTAGCCAGCTAGTGAGTTAGAGAGAGAATCAAAAATTGAGCATGAGGAAAACAAGAGAGGGATGCGAAGAAGAGAAGGATACCCCAGAATAAACACATCAAAGTGCCATTGAAGTTAATGACATTTGAACAATCAGACTTCATGTTTATGGGCAGAATGCACCAAATGTCCCTTAAGGGCTTCATTCCTTAAATTTGCCTAAACCTTTATCCTAAACAAGAATTCATTTTAGGGAGCAAATAATGTGCCTGCAGTCAAAGGATTCCCATTCCTTTCTATGAAAAACTGCCCCCTATCTCAAGAGCAGATACTTTTCATGGTAAAGAAGTATGAGAAAAGGTGTGAATTCCTATGGCATTGCTTGCTGTTATAATTCCTTGGACACAAAATAACCCCTGTTTATGGTTAAAGGTAAAGGTTCCCTTGCTCGAAAACCAGTCGAGTCCAACTCTAGGGTTGCAGTGCTCATCTCCGTTTCAAAGCCGAAGAGCCAGCGCTGTCCAAAGACGTTTCCGTGGTCATGTGACCGACATGACTAAACACCAAGGCGCACGGAACATTGTTACCTTCCCACTTTATCTACTTGCAATTTATCTACTTGCAATTTCTTGCTTTCGAACTGCTAGGTTGGTAGGAGCTAGATCCACCATCATATTTCACAGCATTTTAGAAGAGCTGCCATCAGTCCAATTTGTGACTGGGGGGGGGGGGTGTTGGGGTTAATCTGTCCATTCTGCATGGCTTCACCCATCAAAATTGATCCCTGCCTATAATTAGACCTGAAAGGAGAAAAAATGTGGCCTTTCTTACCTACATCTTTTTCTTCTAAGACCAATATCAGTGTGGGATGTGCGTGTGTTGCTTTCCCTAGGTGAAACCACACAAGGATTAAGGATCCAACCTCTTGCCTCCCGCACATTCCTTGTCTGAATCAGGGTCATGTGTAGTTTCAAGGCGGTAGAGCATCTGCTTTGCATGCAGCTCTCAGGTTCAGACCCCAGCATTTGCAGTTAAAAAGGATCAGGCAGCGGGTGATTTAAATGACCTCTGCTCAAGACCCTGGAGAGCTGTTGCCATTCACAGTAGACAGTACTGATCTCGACAGGCCAGTGGTCTGGCTCATGACTGCAATTTATCTTGTTAAACACCTGTGGGAAGATCCACAAACAGATCTAGTGTTTCATCTTGTTTGATATTCAGCCCCATTAAACAGAGTGAAACTTAGTGAGTGGGCATGACGCAGCTAAGTCACATGTAAACGGGACAAATGAGCAGTGACTAAGTATGGTATTTTATACGAGTGATTGTTAATGCTTCAAGGGTTTTTTTTTTTACCCTTGAGCCAGTTTGGTGTAGTGGTTAAGTGTGCGGACTCTAATCTGGGAGAACCGGGTTTGATTCCCCACTCCTCCGCTTGCACCTGCTGATGTGACATTGGGTCGGTCACAAGCTCTGGCACAGCTGTCCTTGAAAAAGAGCCGTTTGTGTCAGAGTTCTCTCAGCCCCACCCACCTCACAGGGTGTCTGTTGTGGGGAGGGGAAGGGAAAGGAGTTTGTAAGCCGCTCTGAGACTCCAAGTGAAGGGCGGGGTATAAATCCAATCTCTTCTTCTTCTTCTTCTCTTGATGATCAAGAACACAATCAACTCCAGATTATTAATGCAAATAAATTTCTTTTTAGCCAACAGCTGAGCGTCAGATGTGCTATGCTTCCCTTGATCACAGTGTCAAAAGAAAACACAAAAACCTTCGAAAAAAGAAATATCCTCCATTAGAATCAGAGGAAGATCAGCTGAGCAGAAACTGCTCCATGCCCTCTGACACCTGCATTTATCTCAACAGTGAACAGCTGAGCATCGAAAACAAAGTTTCTGAAGATTCTTCCTGCCAATGATGATCCCTTAAGTTTGTCTGGTTCAATTCACACTACAAGTGCCAAATTTCAGTTGGGACACAGCTAAATCAAATCACTGTAGTTGATGAAATATATAATTTTATTGTGTGTAAATAAATAGCCAGCAACGGGGATTACAATTTGGTAGTGAAGGGTGCATTTGAATTAAAGCATAAAGGTGCATTCAGTTTACAGTGCAACTGGAAGCATCTAAATCAGGGATCCCCCACCATGGTGCCCGTGCCCACAAATACGTTTCCTGGCGCCCACCAAGTGTTTTTAGAAAGTGGGTGGGGTCAGGTGGGGCTTTTGCTCAGCAATGCTTCTGAGTAGCTGTTGATATTTGATTGCCTGTCCAGATTTTTACCTTTACCTTTTTACAGTTTTTTTTAAAAAATGTTGCTTTGGCAGCAGCTGCCACCACAGCATAACAATCTTCATTATTTGACTGAAGGTTAGCCGTGTCAAGCCATTTTGTGGCTGGCTCTGCCTCCTGTGGCAGCCATTTTGTGGCTGTGCCCACCATGCTGTGTCAGAATGCCAAAAGTTGCCTGTAGGCTCAAAAAGGCCGGGGATCCTGGCTTAGATATTCCCCCACTAATTCTGGCTGTGTGTGAATGGTGTTCCAATACAAGCCCAGCAACAGCAATGTAACTATTTTGCTCAGCACTTTGCAGATAAATAGCATTTGTAATGATTTGGGAATCTCCATTAGCCATCACAGGGTCAGATGGTGGACAGCATCCTTGATGTTTAAGGCCTGCCACTTGCTTGTTTTAAACTTGCCCTTCCTGGCTGCTTAGATCTTTGGGGGAGGTTAGCTGGCTGGTTCCAAGAGGAAATTAATGCCTCCTTGAGAGGATAGTTGTCCCAGCCTTGAAACAGGCTGTGGTATTAAAGAAACCTACCCTGGGCCCAGGAAGGGAACGTGTCATGGTATAGCCTGGTCTCATCAGATCTCAGAAGCTAAGTATGGTTAGTACTTGGAAAGAAGACTCTGCAGAAGAAGGCAATGGCAAACCACCTCTACTTCTTACTTGCCTTGAAAGCCCCTTGCTGGGGTTGCCATAAGTCAGCTGAGACTTGATGGCACTTTACACATACCCCCAGGCCCAAAAGCCTTGTATAATTACTGACCAATCTCAAAGATCCTACTTTGAGCACAGTGACTAAATGGGTGGTACCCAGAGAATTTCAAGGATTCTTGATGAAGCAGGTTGTCTGGATCATTTTCATGCTGATTTCAGGTCACTTTGTAGAAAACGACATGGCCTTGGTTGCCAATTTTAATTGTTTTTGTGTTTTTACATATGTATTTCATTGGGAGGACCCTTTTAATTGGTTTTATGATCTGTTTTAAAATGTTGGCCACCATAAATGAATGATGAAAATCCAGGCCTGGTATGGTGTGGTATAGTGTTGCAATAGTATGGTGGAGGAGGAACATAGGCCTGTATTAAGAACATAAGAACATAAGAGACGCCAATGTTGGATCAGGCCAAAGGCCCATCCAGTCCAACACTCTGTGTCACACAGTGGCCAGAAATACCAGTGCCATCAGGAGGTCCAGCAGTGGGGCCAGGACATTAGAAGCCCTCCCACTGTTGACCCCCCCCCAAGCACCAAGAAGACAGAGCATCACTTGCCCCAGAGCCCCTAGCTATACCTTGTTGCTAATAGCCACTGATGGACCTCTGCTCCATATGCTTATCTAATTCCCTTTTGAAGCCGTCCATGCTTGTAGCACCCACCACTTCCTGTGGCAGTGAATTCCATGTGTTAATCACTCTTTGGGTGAAGAAGTACTTCCTTTTATCCGTTCTAACCCGACCGCTCTGCAGTTTCATGGAGTGCCCACGAGTTCTTGTATTGTGAGAAAGGGAGAAAAGTACCTCTTTCTTTACCTGCTCTTTCCCATGCATAATCTTATAAACCTCGATCATGTCACCCCTCAGTCGTCTTTTCTCCAAGCTAAAGAGCCCTAAGCGCTTTAACCTTTCCTCATAGGGAAAGTGTTCCAACCCTTTTATCATTCGAGTTGCCCTTTTCTGCACTTTTTCCAAAGCTATAATATCCTTTTTAAGGTGTGGTGCCCAGAACTGCACACAGTATTCCAAATGAGGTCTCACCATTGATTTATATAGGGGCATTATTATATTGGCTGATCTGTTTTCAATACCCTTCCTAATAATCCCCAGCATAGCATTGGCCTTCTTTATTGCAGTCACACACTGTCTCGACATTTTCAGTGAGTTATCCACTACAACTCCAAGATCTCTCTCTTGCTCAGTTTCTGCCAGTTCAGACCCCATCAATATGTATTTATATTTAGGATTTTTGGCTCCAATGTGCATCACCTTGCACTTGGCCACATTGAACCCCATTTGCCATGTTGACTGTTTGGGCAAGTCTCTGCAGTTAGCATTTCTTTCTTTCTTTTCATAGTAGAAGAAACCAAAGACAAGGATTTGCAGTAACTGGACTTCTATGCAATGGGGTGTTTATATTAGAGACTGATTCAGTGTGCATTGGTGGGGATGCTGCTGCTTCTTCACACTATTTTAGCAATGGGCCCCAAGTAGAACCTGTGGGGACCCACTGTGTGGCTTTTTCCAAAGATCTTTCTCAACTCAGGTGTAGCAGAGTTCCCTCAGAATAAATAGGGCCTTTATACATCTTGTTCGATGGCATTATCAGTTCAAAGTGGAAAGATTAAAAGTGTCGCTAACTTTTCATGTACATTTTACTAATCCGTCCTGTGCTTTTCCACGTTGTAACATATAGCAACACCACCCTATATTTATGGATAATTAGAGAATAAATGTAATTGCTTTGGTCCATTTAATTTGCACTTGTACAGCTAGCAAATTTAACTTCCATATATGTTTAATTTCCTGCTGGGTTGTTCTGGTAGAGTCTGTTCTATTACTCCAGAAGTATAATGTCTTATGCCTCTAGATTCAATTGTGTAAAAAATAAAGTGGCAAATAAGTATAAAAATAAACTGCCAAATGTAGTTTGCCATTCGAGTGAATTTATGCAATTTTGAGCGATAACTTTACACAATTTTAAATTGCATTCTGTATTGCTTATTGGTCCCCAAGTACATATTAAGATTCTTCCTTATTGTGTACTTCAAATACATTCCTGCGTCAGATATAAAATTTATAAATTGTTCACATATTATAGAAGGGGTGCATAAATATAGTAGGTTGGTCAAGATCAATGAGCAATTCCATGCACTCAGAAAGGAAAAATATGAGTGAGGGTATCCTCCATTAAGATAGCCAAAGGGTGGAAGGCTGATTTTGCCTCCACCACACATTTGAACAGCTCAGCTACTTCCCTTTTGCAACCCACGAATGCAAGAGTATGAATAAGAATATGACTCCAGAAGGGATGAGGCAAGCACCCGCTTCCTCCAACACCAGCAAGTTTTCTTTTAAAGTAGGTGTTACAGACATGGTCACCGACCCTACTTTGGGAAGAGGAAAACAATTTGTGGCCAAGAGTTTAGTGCCCCCCTTCTGGCCCACTATTTTTATGCTGCCTGTTGCACACTACAAAGGGAAAGCAGGATGTGTAATTCCACCCTCAGCAACAGTTCTAGATTTTACATCAAGTTGTTAGTCAAGACACACAGATTACAGAATATATTAGTAAGCTTGTTTGCTGTTTTATCTGTGGAAAAAGTAGAAAATAGGGTTGTAAAATAGAGGCAGAAAAGGAAGAGAGTCTACAAAAGTTTAAAGCACCTTTAAAAGAATTTAGCCAGTGTTTACAAACAAGTAAGACTTTCAGACAGCCTTTTTACATCTGCCAGCTGTCTTCCTCTGCTCAGTTTGAGAAAATTCTTACGGCTTTCCCTCCCAGTTCACATCCAAAATAAACTCACTTATTAACGAACAGGGAAGCTTAAAACACGTTTAACAAACCTTTCAAAGTACAAACCCAAACTTGCCTCTTAACAATAAATACCACAAGTAAGCAAAGCTGACAATATTCAGTTGAAACCAATGCCAGTCTTGATGAACAGTGGATTACAGAAACATCAGAATCAAAATAGCAGTGAAAATGGGAAATTTCTGTATATGCACGTATTTTATTAAATTGTGCTGTCCTACTTATATATTAGGGTAGTTAATATGAAGATTGAGCTGTGTGGTTAAAAGCCAAATAAGCAATAGAATACTGTGTCTCCTAACCACAATGGTCTCAAAGTTTTTGGCAGAGATAGTATTTGAACCGTCTCTGGAAGCTTCCTAGGTAAATAATCATTTCATAATGAGAACTCTGAAATCAGAATTGTCCAATATTAAATACCATGTAGCCTCTTTTAAAATACAGCTCTCTAAAGCCAAACAAGCATGGCTTGAATTGCACCTTTTAAACATTTTCCTGATGTCTTAATCTTGCTAGAAATTTAGAAAGCAAGTTTAAAACTCACAGTTATATCATCAAGGAATGCTGTTGCCCTTATATAAGTAACGTTTTACCATTGCAGTGCTTTGCCCTTCCCATTGAATTGTATCTACTATTTTGCCATCCAGCCTATTTTAGATTCATCCCCACACAGTTCATTTTCTGTTAATGAACATTTGAACTGTGTTCATTTGAGTCATTCTGCATAACCTTCTGATTTTTACCTAGCTTTCCCCCCTCGTAGACAGATATGGTGAGTTTGTTAGTCTCATTAATGAGAGCACACAACCAAATAGGCAGACGATTATGTTTCACTTATTGACAAATATGACACTTACAATGTATTTAACAAAACCTGATATTACTCATCATCTGGTGTTTTTTTTTGTAATAAGTGAGTAGCTTCTAGAGCACAGCCATATATAAAGATTTATTACAAAATAAAATACAAAAGTGTCAAGAACTAGACATGTGCATTTATGACATTAAGACCATATTTGCTAAGCAACAATTTAGATTTTTCCAAATCATTTATTTTCAACAATGACTAACGCTCATTCCCAAAGCAGAAGCTCAGAGTAGTAGATACATTAAACAAGGTGTTAAATGTGCATTAAGAATAAATTTTGACCAGCAAATTGGGTAATCAGAAAAAAGTCCTCAAAAATGACATTTGTTTCGTATAGGCAACAGTCCTCAGATCTGATGCATCTCTAAGAAAATGGTCTCTTGGGTGTGTAGAAGCAAACTGCATTCCAGAAGTGTGTTTCCAAATGGCAGGCTGTAACTTCGATATCTTTCTCCTTTAGATAATCATGACATTTCATCTTCACATCCTTCTGAAAATGATCTCTGGTAATTTTTGCAGACAAGTTCTCCCATATATGCATCTCTCGCTCTCCTTTCATTATAGTTGAGCTTTTTGGAAGCCCTAGAAATGAAGAAAAGATATTCAAGAAACACATGCTACAAGATCGGCATTAATTACTAATATAACTTTTGTTCAGATCATCTCCAAATGCAACAGCAGCTAAAAATACTTTCACTTGGAGACTCTTTCTTCAGAATAAAACATTTTCCCCGAATACCTCAGAAATTTATCAAGCATTGGTGAACAGGCATGGCATTTCATACCCACTTTTTTTGCAGATGACTTACGGCGATTCCATATGGTTAGCAAAGCAAGAGATGTTCAGAGGTGGTTTTGCCATTGCCTGCCTCTGCTTGGCAACCCTGGTATTCCTTGGTGGTCTCCAATCCAAATATTGACCAGGGATGACCCTATTTACCTTCTGACAATGAAATCCATTGTGTATCACATACAAGAGAACCATAAGCAAGCATACAAGCAGAACATCAAAGCTAATAATTTTAAAGTGACGACTGCTACATTAAGTCACAGCCCTCAAACCTAACTAATTTAGCTCAAATTCTAGTAATCAGAGCAAAAGTAGATACTGTGTGCCTTGAGAGTCCACGATTCTTGTTGCTCAGTGACTGCAATTTTGACTACAGTAGATCAACATGATTCTATATAGAACAGCAACGGCCATTTTGATACGATGCCAAAGTAAAACTAATTATTCCATCTAAGTAAGGCAGCTCTTCAATAGCTCCAAGCCATGTGATGGGGGGCACTAATTGAGCAATAAACCACTAATGGCAATTGCTGGAATGCACCAGCAAGGAAAGGCTGACTTTATACCTTGTTTGTGGACTTTGTGGGAGTATCTGGCTGGTCACTTTGGCAAACGGGATGCTGGATTGTGTGATGCAGTAAGGCTGATGAGTTTTTGGCATCAGCTTGATCATCTCCTCTATGTCCTGCTTTCAAACCAACCTCTAACTTTTGGGATACTGCCATGAAGAAATTCCCAAATAAGCAGAAGAAGCATTATAGTCATTGAGTGAAGCTATCAGGCCATTTTGGACCAACAGTGATATGCACAACATTGAGATATCAAGATAAACCTCAGTTGACATACCAAGGCATTCATTTCAATACTTGCATGTTTAAAACACATTCCCTGTAACACGACACCTCCTACCCTTGCAATGATTACTTCTTCTTCATTAATGACTCAGGGTAAAAATTAAGAAGACTACTGAATCTGAGGACCAGATTCAGAGACAACACCTCCTTCCATAGATAGCCATGTCCTCAAGGTCTTTCTTTTCTCCTATTTTCTGTTAATGAACATTCAACCCAATGGTCTTGAACAGCTGCTGAGAGGTTATGTTTACATAACTAACGAAAAGCTACATGCACAATGGGATCTCCCAAACAGAATATGATAGGTTTTATGCAGGCTTTTTTAGAACGTTTCCGTGTTTTCTACAGCAGAAGCCAAAAACCTAGTGACTCTATATGTGTCCCATCCATCTACATTGCTCAGTAGCCTAGAAGTCTTAGCGGTTGGAGAAGCAGAGTCCTTATTAAGTGGGGGGAACATCAGCTCCTGTCTAAGTTTCAAAAATTCAGGCATCTTAAAAGTATGTGATCCATGGTTTCAATGCGATTAAGGCTGCAATTACATGTTCTCTCTGAATATGGAATACCAGCGTATCTACCTGCCAAGACTGCAGATGGTAAAGCGGTAAGGCACGCCAACATAAAGGCACATCTATATTTAGGATATGTTAAATCACAAAAATACAATGGCATGCTAACTGTTAGGGGAATGCCAACCGGGAAGGTTGAGCAAACTCTTCTTGACCTTATTGCTGTACTTTTATAATCCAGATGTTTCAGATTAATTTCAATCAGATGTCTTAGCTCACGGACATGTACTCTCCCTATCAATTCTATTGAAACCCCTATGCATATTAGCTTTATCATTAATCAACTGATCCTGGTTCCTCTTGTGATTGCCTAATTTAATAAGACTGAGCAAATTTAGCTCCGGATCTGACTGCAGGATCTTTACCTGTAAATTAAATGCCCTGCTCCATGCTCTAGCATCATAAGAGACTTCACCTATTTCAGAGAACAATGCAGGCCACATATTTTGGGGGCCCCGTATTCCACAAAGAAAATTAATGAGTGGTCGATTAATATCCTCAGTAACAGCCTCTATTCATACACCAGCTGCATATAACAAATGGCCAACTACCTTAAGAGTTAAATACTCTTGAGTGCTGAAGGAACATATTGTCCCCCTGAGGTATAAAACAGTCTGGTGATTGCTTTCCCAATGCTGTCTGCAGCTCTTACGATTGCTGTCACCTGAGTTCTCCATGAACGATCAGCACCGAACAATACCCCCAAGTATTTAAACTGAGTGACCTGTTGCATAGGCAGACCAGCCACGGTCCATTTGTAATCCCTTACTTTCTGTTTTCTACTAAAAATAACAACCTTAAACTTTGCTACATTAATTACCAAACCTTTCCTACAGCAGCATCTAGAAAACAGACAGACAGTTTACGCAGACCCACTATGGATCTAGACAGCAAGAGTGCCATCTGCATACAGAACTGGCAATTTCACATTTGCAAGCTAAGGCTACTGCCAATCCTCTTGCAACAAAAAAGAATTAAGATAATTAATATATAGAGTGAATCACAGAGGGGCCAAAGTGCATCCTTTCTTAATACCTTATCTAGCGAAACAGGATCTGTCAGTACTCCTGAAGGGCCTCACCTAGCTTGGGCTGTTGGATGGTCATAAAGTTGACAAATAAGAAATAAAAGATGTTGGTCCATAGTTTTCACAGTTTTGCCCATAGTTTATCTCTAGATATAGTATTAAAAGCATTTCCAAGATCCATGAAGTTGGCACTTAATGATCCCTTCTTACTGCTGGTATATTTATCAATAATAAACTGTAGAATGTGGCAGTGATCAATTGCAGTCACTCCCCTTCGGAAGCCAGATTGTAGCAATGTCCTCAGAGTCATAAAGAACACAGCTGGATCAGAGCAGTGGTCCATCTGGTCCAGCATCTTGTCTCACACAGTGGCCAACCGATTCCCATGGCGGTCCGACAACTTGTCAGGTTCCACAGCCAAAGGAGTACACGCTTATCATAAGGTTATACTTTATTTTAAAAGCTATAGAGGCAGTAACATCGTCACTGTTAGGAATGGCTATGTTCCTACAAGCATCCTATGTCCCCACCCCTAGGCCAATCAGCCTGACTCCCGCGTGCGGGAGAATGGGGCCCCAGGCCGTTAAAGCCAAAGCTGGGAATCGAAACTGATCCCACGGGTAATCCATGGGAAGACACTACACAGACAGCCTACAAGGTCAGAGATAATAAAAAACAATGGAATGCCGCAGCAGTTGGTACACAGGTCAAGCAGATGCACTCTTGCCCATAAACATCATGGCAGCATAGCTGGCACAACTGTACATAGAGACTGAGGCCTTCCCCTGGTGTTTTCTCCTGGCACTAGTATTCAGAGGTTTACTGCCTTGGAACATGGAGGTTCCCTTTATAGTTTAAGAGATTGTAATGAACTGCTATTAAATCATATCTCATCTAGCTTCTTGACATGACCTTACAGGATGCTTAGTACTTCAACAAGTTTCCATGACATTTTTATCATGCAGCCAGTTTCTTCTGCATCCCTCCACATGCTCACCCTACTATCACCACCTTCCCTGTTTTTTTAAAACACACCTACTGTAAAGACCTTTAAATGTGTTCAGTGTGAGCTGAGTGCTTTTGGGAAACTGGCTAGAGTCTTCTCCAACTTACTGCTTCTATCCAACTGCATTTATGGATGCACTATTTAATATTCCTCTGCCCCCAAAGGAAAACATCAAATGGATACTACAATATATTTAGGTATCACTTACCTTCTTGAAGAGTTTTGCATTCTTTTGAGAGCATCACAACTCTGCAACAACTTGGGAATGTATTCATAGTCATCTGCAATCCCGGATTCTGTGAAAACAGTAGGTGTGAATAAAGAGGTACCCCACTAGAAACTTTGTACGCAACTCCAGTTGGTTCAAAATACTGCAGCCAAGCTACTGTAAGGGGTTATATGAAAAGACTGTATACACCCTACATGGAAAGATCTGCACTGGCTTCCCATCTGTTTCTGGGCACAATTCAAGGCCCTAAACAGTTTAGGGCCACCTTCTCCCATACTGTCTAGTTCACCAATCACGATCTTCCTAACAAGTTCAGCCTCTTGGCATCTGCCTCCAAAGGTGAGGGTGTATGTGTGCCCCTTCTTTCAGAAGGGGCAACTAGGAGCAGGGTTTTTCAATGGTAGTACTTCATCTGTGGAATGCTCTCTCTCTCTGAGGCTTTCCTGGCAGTTGCAATTCTCCCTTTTAGGCATTAGGCCAGAATATTGCTGTTTAACTAGGGAATCCAGCTTTCAGATTTTTTTTACAGTCTTCTTCTAGCCTGAGGACTGTTTTGCATGGACCAGTTTAGGCTGCTAAATGTTTTATGCTGTTTATGCTCCAGTTAGGTTCAATGGCTGGTTTCTAATGGCCTGTTAATTTTAATGGTTTTATGATTTTATCATGTTTTACTTTGTGAACAGCCTCAAGCAGATCTCTGAAGAGGAAGCATATATATTTTCTAAATAAAGGATAAGAGAGACAACACAAAATGCACAGAGGACTAATGTAAGCCAAGTTATTCTCTATGTCTTTACAGAATGGATAAAAATGATTTAATAGTTTAAAATAAATTTTTATATTCAAATTTACATTTAACCTTTAAAAACTGAATCTATGACCCTCTAACAATCAATTACTTGAAGCCTGCTTAATATAAAATCAAACCATGGGTAAAAAGACTGATTTTTAAGTGGAGCATTACAAACATGGCATAATAAATCATGTATTGTTATGGAAAATTGTGAATAGCTCTGACTGCCTTATCTTAAATTCCACCAATCCAAAAGGCTTGTATCCAAAATAAATGCAGTCATTCTAATCAAGCACAGTCCATAAGGGATCTCAATGCTAAATGATTCTGTAGAGAACTAAGTCCTAGAATGACAATTTCATGCTAACAGTAACTCCTAGAGTTAGTTCTCCATAAGATTCTTTAGTGCTGAGATCCCTTAGGCGACTATGCCTGATTACACCAACTGCATTTATTTCTCACTGTCAAACAAAATGCACGGACAAGTAAGTTATACACATTGAGTTCAAAAAGAAAGAGTTACAACTGTGCTTTCTACATAAAATCAACAGAAATTATACCTGTAGTTATACAATGATCTGTTTAGTTCAAACAATGACTTTGTGCCCTTGAACAAGGGGCTCTGCTCTGATATTTGTGTTGATAATTACTGGTTTTACTGTTTTTATGCGTGGGCACTTGTTGCTTTTTGTAAGCTACCCTGAGCCCGCTTGCGGGGAGGGCGGGATATAAATGCTAAAATAAATAAATAAATAGGGTCAGGAGACCTTTGGGAATAGATTGGGATGGGAACCGAGGAAATAGGCAGAAATCATTACCCTTCCTCTCTTCTTATATAAGCCGTTCTATGAACAGAAGAAGAGTTTGCACAGGGCAAGGAGGAGATTTCTTCCAGTTTCCTCTTCTTCCTACAGATTTTCATATGCCTTCTACTCTTTCAAAAGCCCCTGGCCTTAAGAATCAGTTTTTGGGGCAGAGGTGCCTGTGAGGAGACAAAAAAGGGCTGGTCCATGAACTCCCTCTGTTTACAGGAGGTCACAGTATTCAACCCAATATATTTTTATTATAGCAATTAGTATATATGTCTATTCAGGACATGTATGAATCACATAATAGAAAACTTGATTTAAAAGTTAATGTAGACTTTAAATTTGAATTGCTTAAGGAATTAACATGGAAATAAAAATAGGCTAGTAAATCCAGACAAGATACAGAAAATAAAAAATGCCTTTGGATGGGTTCGTCCTAACTACTCAAACATAACAAGAAGAGCATTTTCACCATAAATGCAAAAACAGTTTTTAAAAGGTTGATTGGTCACCTTGGAAAACACACAGAATCTTTTTGGACCACGGGATCATCAGAATGTTAAAATCCTATTGACTAGCCGATTTACTTTTGTCTTGTAGCCTGGACATGTTTTAGAGACATATAAATCCGGTAACTTTACAGTTTGACCTACTTGTTTTTGACCATTAAGACATTATAGATGTACATTTTGATTTTATACAATAACTAAAACTTCAGCTTTTTTGTCAGCAGTACTAAAATTATTGTAATGAATGTCTAAAGGAATACAAAATGGACATGAGAACAGAATAATCCCATCTGCATAGAGACGACTTTTGGAGCTAACAGCAGAGTGGAAAAATATGTTACTGGAGTGCCATAATTAGAGCATTCAAAGAGAAAGTGAAATGGAAAGGGACAAGTATACAACTTTGTTTAATGCCTCAGGCTATAATATTACTACCTTTGCATAAGTGTGTGTGAATCTCTCTATATAATAATTGTGTTTTGGGGTGGTACTTTGTAGCTCTCCTATTGGCTGTAAAATGCGTTCCCTCAGCCATTGGCCCTTCAGCCGCCACTCAAGAGTACTTGCGTGCCATTGGCCGGGTGCTGGGTCTGCTCCTCTTCCCTGCTCACTCCCCCTTCAGCCACTGTGCCCTGTCAGAATCACTGGCAAACGGCTTTCTCTCTTTATAAAGACTCTTCTCCTGCTTGCCTCCTGCGTGGGACTAACTTTTCCCTCAGTGGCTGTTGGTAGGTGTAATGAAATGGCAGTTACCTGTGTTTGTAAGATGGCTGCCATCTATGGTTGGTCGTTTAAAATGTTCCCCCATAAGGTTTAATTGAGCTGTAGTTCCAGAGAGATGCCTGCAGGGGGTATCACTCACTGGATTGAATGGGGCTTCCTCATCTGCTGGCCTACAGTTCCCAGCTGCCCCAAGGCCAAAAAATGTGGGAAAACAGGTACTGTCCCAAGGGGCAGGGCAGCATCAATATACACTCCAGCCCATCCACGAAGGAGGCAGTATTCGTCCTATAGGAGGTTAGGAGACGCTCCTGCTGCCTGTGCTGATGAGGCTGTCCAGGCCACAAGCCACAGACATGGGGGAACCCTGGGAGGCAGCAGAAATTCAGCCACTCCACAGTTGGCTGGACTGGGGAATGAATGGAAATTTCCCTGCTCTCTTGGGCAAGAGAGAGAGAGGCTGAAGCAGAGCCAAAGGCTGGTCCAAGGAGAGATCTTATCCTGAGCCCACAACCTCCAGAGGTAGAGGGTATTGTGTGTAGGGGAAAGAGGGTGTTTAACCCCTCTTTGTTCATAGGGTGTGCTTACTTCTACAGTTCTGCCTTATTCATTTAGTGTGTGTGTGCTCCATAATTGTGTAAATAGTTAAATAAAATACAGATAAATAAAACCACATAGTCTCCCCTGCTCTGCACAATATCAAAGGGAGGGGGTAGTCCAAGGAAGGAAGGAAAGCCCAGACCCTTGGGTTGCCAACTTTCCAGGGATCCCTCAAAGATTGGGGATTCTATCTCCAAATAGAGAGATTCAGCCAAAGGGGTCTCACTGTTTCTCTAAAAAGGCAGTCACAATTCAGTGAGTAGTGGCAGCGAACTTAAGGAGTGACATACGCCCACGGGACAAGGGTGGGAGGTGAACAGCTGAGTTGTAAACTGGAGCCCGTTTCACCACAGTAGGCAACCAAGCTTGGTTCACACAAAGGAAGGAAACCCTTTGCAGGCCTTTGTGAGGAACTAATTGGGGCCAGTCCTGACTAGGGTTGGCAGCTCCAGGTAGGGAGATTCCTGGAGATTTTCTGGTAGAGTCTATGGAAGCCAGGGTTTGGGGAAGGGAGAGGCCTCAGCTGAACAGAATCCACCGCCCCCCTCGAAGGGGGGGCTGTGGGGGGGGGGGGGGGGGGGGAGAGATCTGTTGTCTGGAGTTCAGTTGTGATACTCCATAGGTTATATCCTCCTTGCCAATCTAGAATGTATACTTGGTATTTGACTCAGTGCTGTTGTGCCAATGCCTGAACAGAAAGCACTGTTTATGAAACAACTCTAAATCAGTACCTCTTGTGCTCTCGAAAGGACCGTGTTGGATTGTTGCTATCATCTTTGAACCCCTACTGTGCTCATGCTGAAAATGATTTTTTTTTACTTGATTCGCTTGACTATGTTGAATTGCATTAACTACATTCAAATTAGTAAACTAGACTTGAAGCAGATTACACAATATAAATTGATACAATCAACTTCTAATAAGTGATCTACTAGGATTTTAGTATCTTTTAAAATATAAAATGAATGGGCCATGACACTTCAAAACCATTAAAGATGGAAAATATTAATAATTATTATTAAATTTAGGTTTTCCAGTATCACCAAGTCAATACAAGGAAAAATATTCTGAAAATCAGTATTTACTGGCCTGCTATCCAAATCTAATTTTTCCTAAAGTATTCATTATGTATGAGATGAACTAAAACAAACAGAAAGCAGAATTAGTGGATCTGGAAAAAAGCAAAGAACGATCAATCACAGCTTCTTCACTTGGAAATAATTAAATGTTATCATTTTAAATCTTTCTCTCAAATACAGCAAAATACTTCAGAACTGAAGTTTACTGATTAACAGTTATGAACTGGCCATTTTAAAAGCCATCCAGATATGACTGGGTTAGGATGCTTGACAGAGAATACCTATTGAGTATTACAAAAATATCTTTGAAAACCTACCATGCATATAAGTGCTTGGTCCAACCAAAAAGGTGCGATTTGGAGAAACACGGAATTCAGAATCCTGAAAATTAAGTGTCAAGCATTAAAGTGAGGCATTACTATAAATTCAGAGGTTATTTACATCATTGTCAGCGAGCTTTTGTTCTCTTATCAGTATGTCTTGGTTTTTTTGCATTTTTATATGCAATATTTATAGGAATATTTTGCCAGATGTGGGAGAACTAAAAATATTACTTTCTCCTCCTTCTGCTGCAGCAGTAAATTCTATTTAGTTATTTAGCTGCAAGTCAGCATATTGAATGGGAAAGCGACTCAGCTACTAACAGCCAAGATTCAATTGCTGTGTTCAGTGAGGCTTATATAGGTAAACATACATGGCTATGCCATGGTAATAGATGAAGACTCAAATAGTCAGTAACCTTGTCAGTCACTGAAAGAACACAAGTCTGTAAGGAAGTATTCAGGCTGCAGTGCTTTTCATATGAATCAGAGATCACAGTTTACTTACTAATTTTTTTGAAGGCCAATTGCTTGAATTAGGAGAATGCAATGTGAGAGTCATGCCAGTTTTATCAAGATTAATATTCTCCAAGTAAGGCAGTTTCTGGTGTACTCCAGAAGAAAAGCTCTCAGATATATTTTTTAGTCTTTTTACAGGTGAAGACAGAAAATCTTCATTAGAAAAATTTGCTGTTCTTTTAATTCTGGCAACTGTAGGTAGAGTTCGTACAGGAGAATTGACTAGGGCATTTACAGTGTGAGATACTTGCACCCCTTCGTATTTCTTTAATCTTGCAGCTCTCAGAAATGTAGAGATCTTTGGAAATCCTTCAGAACGTGATCTAACATACATAATTCCAGACTTGTTATGTTTCTGATGAAACCTTGTCCAATTACTCAATTCGGGTTTTAAAAGCTTGTCACCAGACTGTGTTGGGTTTGTGCATATGTCTGAAGACTTCTGCACCTGTGGACAACACAGTTCTTTGTACATCTTTTCAAATGCGTCTTCAGATTTCTGCTGAACTTTGATGCGACTGTGATTAACAAGAAACTGTGAAAAAGACTGACTTCGCCGTAGTGAACCAGTTGTAGGGAAAATTTTAATCTCATGATTTCTGAATAACCTACATGGAGATTTCAGTGGAGAAGACTTGTTTGCTTGCAAAGGTGGGTTTGTGTTTCTATTCAAAGGTAAATTTAAATACGCTGGAGCCTTGAATGACATAATCCTTGTTATTCCAGGTTCATCTCCTTCCGTCAGATCAAATGTTGCTCCTGGATCATCAGGGCAAACAGCAGAATGCTCTTCAAAATGCTGACCTTTTCTTGCATGCTCTGAAGATGAAGGAATCCAAGATGGACTTTTAAGATGAAATATTTTTCTTCCAGAAAGATTGTTAGGAAAAATGGTAGCCCCATTACCATTTCGTCCAACTCTCTCAACATAGGAGTAATCTTCAGTATCAGAGGAGTCCATTTTCATTTCATCTGCGTTACGGGATATAGGAGACGTCACACTAGATTCACTGATAAATGTATGATGCATTTGATTGTTCCCATGTCCTAAAAGTCTATTACTTGCACTGTTTTCCATGGGCAATTTACACTTCTCATTTTCTTTCGTAATTGCCAGGACACGATTGTGTTTTAATGGCTTGAATTTCCTCACTCTCTCAGTGGCTGTGTTAACATTTGTTTTTTTAGGGTGGCAGTACCCGAATCCATACCGTTTGATCTGGGAACGGGAAGAAGCTTTATGGGGCATTTTATGCATAAGCCTGCTAAGCGTCTTAACCATTTCTGGATACAAGTCTGCTATTGTAATATTATTCCAAGAACAACGTTCATCTGCAGACTCATAAGTTTCCAAAAAGCTATTAGAGCCAGTTTTTTCACTATCCCAAAGAGCTAGATTTCCAGATGCAACTATCTCATCTGCTGAATCTTTAGCAGTAGAGTTATATGACTGGAGAGACATAGATTCAGAATGCCCATTATGTCCTTGCTTCCTCGGAACCACAGCACGATAACCTACCAGATCAAATAAAGTATTAGTAACAATACATAAAACCATGGAGCACTACCTTATTATTGATATATCTATCCAACTATAAGATATAAAATAACTTGTAACCTCTTAATAGTGACAAAGCACACAATCTTCTATAGGCCTTTCATATCAAACCTCTTCCTCGCGGTGGAGGTGCTCCTACAGCAGAAGGGAGGTAGCTGTGGAAATCACATCCCTGCCCACAGCATGAACAGCAGACCCTTCTGCTCACACAGGGATCCTTTGTTCCAAGCCAAGAGCTTGCCATCTTCATTAAACATTTTATGAGATTGTTCTTCTACCCTCAAAGCTCTGTGTGCACTGTGATACACTCAAACACTCTAATGAAAGTCCTCTATTCATTTCAATGTCACAGGCATAGGTGCATATATATGGCTCCTGGATTATGTTGAATTAGACCATTTTTGTGGGTTGCAGGTGTATCCCTGCCTTCATTCATTGTTAATTATTCAAATAATTTTTGTTATTCATCTAGTAAGAAAAATCTAACTAGGAACAGATAACAAATACTTCAAAATAGAACATGAAAAGATTAGGATCTCTTACATCATTAAAAACGCAATTTCAGGTCTGAGAAACAAGCTAGACTGAAAGCCTATTACTTGCTTGCCCATGGTCATTTAGTGCTTCATAGACAAGAGGGTTCTGAACATGATCTTGTACATCCAAACTGTCCATCCTCTGCATTACACTGGCTCAAATTAATGCCAGTCTATGCAATTCAGCTACTTACTAGTAGAAAGTAAACAGTGAAAATGGCTTTTCTGCCGAGAATACAAAATACTACTTCCTCAGAGACCAAGCTTCTTCAAATCACGGCAGAATACTAGACACTCATTATCCTGATGATTTGTCTTGATCACAACAACCTTTTATTGCACTGTCAAGTACAGGTATTATACACCCCAGTAAGCATAATCATTTTCAATTATCCAGAATATTATCATTTTAAAAACCACTTGGATACAACTTTACAAAACAGTACAGGGGTGGGAGGGGGCATAAGCATAATTATGGGGCCCAATACAGAGAGAACAGTAGGGTATACAGGCTTGCTTACTTTCCCACTCCTACTCTGAGAGGCCAGGTATGCAGTGTAGCTAGCACTTGCATGAAGCCTGCAACCTTATATGTAATTTGAAATATTGCACCACGTCATAGCCAAGTAATGAAAGGCCTTCTGTTTAGGCCCTGGCTGAGCATACAGGTTGCTCCTGATTGGACAGCATAGAAAATCCAGCTGAAGTATGGTAAAAATATACCAGTTAATGCAGCTGCAAAAAAGGCTTTGTCCCAGCTCAGCCTAGCCTGTAAGATGGCCCCTTACCTTGATATATCTGATCTGGCCATCTGGATCCATGCCACAGTGGCATCCAGACCAGACTACTGTAACACACTGTACATTGATCTCCCCTCAAAATCGATTCAGAAGCTCCAGTTGGCGCAAAACACCGCAGCTCACCTATTATTGGGAGCTCGATGGAGCACGCATATCACTACTATTCTACAATCACTCTACTGCCTGCCGATCAGTTACTGGGCTCAGTCTAAGGTATTGGCTATTACATCCAAAGCCCTTAATTGCCTTGGACACACAGATTTGTGAGACCGTTTCTGCCCTTATGCGCTGCCATGACAGCTTTGCTTATCTGAGCAAGGTCTTCTGTAGGTGCCAACCTGCAAATGGGTAAAATCAGCAACTGCAGGCCTAAGTTCCTTCTCCATTGTGGCCCGCACCCTGTGGAATGGCCTGCCTGCCTGAGGAGGTCAGGAAAGCTCCCACTCTCCTGGCTTTCTGCAAACTATCCAAAACTGAATTATTCTAGAAAGCTTTTCTATCCAGACAATAGAGCTCCACTGTTCTCTAAATGTTTCACAAAGTTACTTAATTATTAGGGACTGTGGTCTATACTACTGTGTTTAGCTTACTGAAACAAGGATCTTACTATGTAATTTTTGTATCATTTAATGTGTCATGTCATGTCAAGACATATACATAGCATTGCTAAACATAGGGTCCTGTGCTCACAGATCTTTTTCTTAAGCAGCAGAAGGAAAAGGGCCCAATTAGATAGTTACACTGTGGCAAGCACCGACTAGTAAGTGGACCAAGGGCCGATAGTACATTCTAGTCTGACTGGCCCTTTTCTACTCCCCAAAGAATTAGCCCTGTAAGTAAATAAAGTCCCAACTCTAGGTGAATTTAACATGTCTCCAATACAGGGTAAGACATCGGACACTATACACACATACCCAGACAGTCTATCAATGCAGTTAGCAAAGCCCCAAACTAAATATACGAAGAAATTAGTCTATAAGAATGATGGGAAAGGAGATCAATACTAAATGGAGCCACTAATCTTTGTCCTACATTGTTTTATGGTACTGAAGATTTCTAGTTAATTTTTTAATGATCGTTTAAAATACTTATGTGTATGTGAAAGGATAAGGAATATGGGAGAAGCTCTGGGCGTGTAACACACAACCTTCCAAAAAGCAAGGGAATTAAGCTTTACTGGGAATAAGCTAAAGGAAAGGGGGGGGGGAAACTGGTGCAAAATTCTGGTGTACAGACAAGCAAAAAGCAACAGTTATTAACTATTCTTTGCACTCATTTGAATTCCGTGACTAATAAAATTGGATTGCACAGTTAACTCTTGCAGTCTGGATTTCAGCCCTACATAGGTTGCAGGATCCTAACCAGACACTTATATAAACCATTAATGAATCAGTGACAACCAGGAACTTAGTTAGAAGACTCATTAGTTGCATCTGGTGATATTTCAACCCAGCCCACAAAGAATACTTAGACCTGTATCAATATGTGTTGTAGCCAGCCAGCCAATTTGAAAATATCTGTGCTCACCAGATTGCATAGCTACACCTTTGTCAGCCTTATTTTGTAATTAGGTGTGCTGTTAACTTCTCTTTTAAGGACTTTTGCTCACCATGTAAGGATTCATTCACCAGCTCTTGAAAAGGTTCTTCACGGACATTCTTTGATTGTCTTAAAATCTACACCAAAATCACCAAAAGAAATAGTGAAGAGCTTATTTGCATAAAAACATAATATAACAATATATATATATAATGCTTTAATTTGAAATACACTTCCTATATTTTAGTGTTGGACACTTGCTAAACCAGTAGATTTGTCAAATATTACACACTTCTAGAACTCATTTAAAAAACGAGGCTGGAGGATGCATAAATGAAAGCTGAATGTAGCCCTAGCCAGTTCAGAAATATAGCTTCTTATAAGCACAAGTGCAAAATGCAGTGATCAAACTGAACCATACTGACCACTGTGATCACTAAAAGATCTTAATTAGCTTCTACTTTGTTTGGGGAGCTGCATATCTCTCCCTTATTATAATTGAATAGCAACATTCTATATTGAACGTTCTAAATTTGGCCCCTTTAGTGTTTGGCCGGAAGAACTGCCACTCAGAAGACGCTGGCTGGGTTGACTGGCTGCTTTGTGCAGTCCCGCCCAGCGTTTCAAGGTCTTTTGCATGTGGAAGCTGATTGGACTTCACTCCATTCCACACCTCAAACTCCCCCCCCCCACAAGGCAGTTGGAATTTTCAGTTGCATAACATACCTCATATATTTTAGGGATGAAGCCTGCTGAGGGTGGGGTCTGAGGAGGAGGAGGAAGAGGGGGACCTCAGACAGATACAATGCCATGCTGCCCACACTCCAGACAAGCTGTTGCCAGTCTCCAGGTGACAGCTGGAGAGATCTTAAAGCTTTGGTGCTACTTCAAAGTGTTGCAATTTATCAACAGAGTAGTGTTTTGGAAAATCTTTAGGAATTGTTTGGTGCATTTACGATGGGGCTCCTGGGGAACTATTGTTGCCAATCTTGGCCCAGCAGCCATCAAACCATTCTCTTCAACCCCCTGCTGTGCAGCTGACTTTCCCCTAGGGTTGCCAATCTCCAGGTGGGACCTGGAGATCTCCCACTGTTACAATTGATCTCCAGATGACAGAGATCAGTTCCCCTGGAGAAAATGGCTGCTTTGGAGGGTAGACCCTATGACATTATACCTGTGCTGAGTCCTTCCGCCCCGCCCAATGCTGCCCTCTACAGAATCCACCCCCCAAATCTCCAGGTATTTCCCTCCTTAGAGCTGGCAACCCAACATTCCCCTCAGTGCCTGTTGGTAGGCAACTAAGCTTGGTCCTGTCACCTACTTTGGCCTTTGGGAGAAAACACATTGGGGCCAGTCCTGATAGGGTTGCCAACTCCAGATGGGAAATTCCTGGAGATTTGAGGGATGGAGCCTGAAGAGGGTGAGGTTTGAGGAGGGGTGGGACCTCAGACAGGTACAATGCCATAGACTCCACCCACCAAACCAATCAGTCCCACATAGGGAACCATTGTCGCCAATCTCCAGGTGAGGGCTGGAGAGCACTCAGAATTACAACTGCTCTGCAGAAGGGAGGGCAGAAGTCAGCTGAAGTCAAAGGTAGGTTGATGGTTAGCTGGGAAGGAGATGGGGTTGCCAACTCCACCCTCCAAACCAGCCATTTTGTCCTGGGTAACAATTGCTGCCAATCTCCAGGTGAGGGCTACAGATCACTCACAATTACAACTGCTCTTCAGGTAGCAGAGATCAGTTCCTCTGGAGAAAACAGTGGACTCTGTCATTATACCCTGCTGAGGTCACCAAAGCAAATTGACACTGCCCAAAGCCAGAGAACTCCCCCAGAGCCTCTTTCTAGATCCCGTTGTATTGCTTCCACAACGGGCTTTACTGCTAGTACATCTTTAAAGCACAAAAAACCTGAGATCTGTCTTCTCCACAAGCTGTTCATCTTCACAAAGATCTTTACAACATATTCCTGCCTTCTAAGGCAAAGCAAGTGATTACTGGAAATGAGCTTTCCATGGTGGCACTCAGGGTTTGGAACTTTTTCACAAGGCATCCTCGCTATTAACATTTAAGTGCCAGGTGAACTATTCTTTTATGCTTTTAATGGTATTATTTGTATTCAGGTTCTGCTTTTTGTCTACTCTTTTAATTGCTGCTGCTATTTGTGTATGTGGCATTAGTATTGATTTTGATGGTGTTTCCACCACAAATATCAGAAGAATTGGTTTTATACCCCAGTCTTCACTACCTGAAGGAGTCTTGGAATGGCTTACAACTGCCTTCCCTTCCTCTCCCCACAACAGACACCCTGTGAGGCAGATGAGGCTGAGAGTTTTGAGACAACTGTGACTGACCCAAGGTCACCCAGCTGGCTTCATGTGGAGGAGTAGGAAATCAAACCTGGTTCTCCAGATTAGAATCTGACGCTCTTAACTACACCAAGCTGGCCTCAGTCCTTGAACAACCAAGTGAGGTAGGTTAGGTTGAGAGTATGTGACTGATCCAAGGTTACCAAGCAAGTTTCCACGTCAGAATGGATATTATATGCTTAATATTTTTGTAAGCTCCCACAAAGGTTTCATGCTGAATGGGCAGGACATATTTTTTGAAAAACAAGATAAGAGAAGCAAGCTACTGTGCTCATTAGGTATCTCCATTCTATTTATTTATTTATTTATATCTTCGATTTCTACCCCGCTCCAACCCCGAAGGGTCTCTATGAGTTCTCACAAACATGTAACCATATCTTACTGTATTGTATTTCTTCTTGATGCTGTTCTAGTGCTGTTTGTTAAGGCTATGAGCTAATGCAATTAAGTTTATGATGGTGATCATATCCCACTATTGAAAAAATTAGGGAGATTTGTGAGTGTTGGGGGCATGTGCAAGCAAATAGGAACATTCATGGAATTCTAGACCAATGTGAAGGAGAGATTTACTATAACCTGTACATTTGCATTACCATAGTTGTTTCTGACACAGTGTAGGCATCATCATTCACTAGCATGTCCATTTCAGCTCCAGAATGACAGACAAGATGAACATTCTCCTTGCGTAAAAATAATCAAAAGTGAATAAAATTTGGCAGCTTAGGGTAAAGAAACTTAAAGAGATAGCAAAGAGCAGTTATTACTAAAAAGAAATTGAAAGTTATATTCAAGAACACTGTTTAGAGTCTTATATCTGACAACAGTCAACCTTACACTCAAGGAAAATATGTTACTATCACCACAGCAAACTGTATGGACACATATTTACAGTTCTGAACACTAGCGAATGTGTTCTGAACATTCCCAGGGCAATCCTAAACTTACATCCTTCAAAGGCCATCAGAGTCAGTGAGTTTAGAAGGGTGTAAATCTGTTTAAGATTGCACTGTTCAACTACTTGTTTCGTTTGTTTATTTCATTTATACTCTGCCTTTATCACCAATAGGAAGCCAGTCCTTAGTACAACAATGTGAGGTAGGTTAGGTTGAGAGTACATGACTGGGCCAAGGTTACCAAGCAAGCTTTAAAAGCAGAATGGAGATTCTAAACTAGGTTTCCCAGATGCTAGACTGACACTCTGACCACTGTACACACTGATTGTCACAAGTGGCAAGACAGCATCTTTGGTGAAGTATTGGTGAAAGATTTAATAATCAATAGAATTGTATTTCAGCTTATTCATAAATTACATTTCATATAATGCTTTTGTCAATTCCTGGGGCTCTAAGAAATGGCTTAGTTTCTTTTTTCTTTACACCAAAATATTCTGAATTCAGTATACAGTTGAATACCTATGTTGAAATGTTACCTTGAGGTGCAAATTTTTCAAATATCTTTTAATGGATGACATCTCAGAATCATTTTTGAAATCTACAGGTCAAAATTAAAGAAAAAAATATTTCAGTCAGCATAACTAATACAGATAGGCTCAATGTTTTATATAAGCCATGCTTTATTGTTTTAACATTCTATATTTGGGGAGGATAACCCCTGCAAAGCTTTTAGAAAATGCATTTCATGAAGTGTTATATTTTCCTAAAAGAAATGACACTTCTGTCTCTGTGGGTTTATTTTATTAATCTAGGGTTTCCTAACCAGCTATGACTCCGTGTAGTTTTGGACTGTTTGATGAGAATGCAGGTGTCATAACAAAAAGGCTGCCAAAAGAGGGCTTCAAAGGAGTACTCCTTGCACAGACAAAAGTGGTGCTTCATGAGCTCTTCAAGAGAATCTCCTGCACCAAGGAGGTGGAGGATCAGTTCAGCTTCAGAGAAAAGGGACTGTTTAGTTTCAGTTTCACCAGAAAGGGGACGGTTTTGCTCCCTGTGGACCCAAGATGGAAGAAATTTCTATGTCCAGCAGTGTAAAAGTCTTGTTTATGGCCAACTCAGGGGCTCACAGCTGTGACATGCCTGTCCAGGATGAGCTCAGCAATTTCCCAGGTAGCCAGGTGATAGGCAGTGACCAACCAGCTCTCTGATTTTCTTCTGTTCCACAGAAATCCCTTGGATTTTATCACTAAGACTTAAGTAGCAAGTAGACACCCGGAAAAACATGTCTAAGTGCCATGGCCCCTCATCAGATGCTATGTTGGGGATTACTGTACTAATCTCTAGGACAAGCTACACTTTGGCAACTAGATCAGTGTTTTTAATGACTTGAACAGGTGAAGTGCTGAAAAGGTGAAGTGCTGAAATCAAAGACAGTTGGTTTCTTCTATCCTACCCTCAGTGCAGGACAAAGGGAACCCAAAATAATGGGAGGTGTCATAAATACACAACATGCAGAAAGATAGCTAGATAAAAGTTTCCAGGAGGGACGGGGACAAGGCAGTCATGTATATTCTTTATGGGGGTCATTTGGGTGTGATCAATCACTCCCCCCAAAATTAAAAATTCTCTTTCAACCACCCCTTCAGTGCTACTGTAATCACTTTTTAATCATTTGCGCTAAATCTATTCATCATCTGTTCTCTTTCAAGAAAAGTAGGAGCTGGCAGGCGCATACATAATTCAGGTGTCATCCTTAACTAAGGCAGAATAGGTTGTTCTCACCTTCCAAACTCACCTTACCTGTACCAGATGGACTCTCTTCATATGAGTTCGTGGACTGTTCTTCCTCAGATAACTTTGGGGTGGGGAGAAATTAAACAAGAGCTATTTTTGTTGGAATAAAATTTTAAAACATCATAGAATTTGATAATTTTTGACTCTGTGCTGGTACGCGTCACAATGACACACGGACAATGATTTTCAGCTATGTTTGCCTCCCAAAACACTTAGCATAAAGCATCTACCTGCAAGACTTTCCGATATGTTTTCCTCTCTAAAGTACTTAGCATTAAGTATCTACCTGCTCATATCACTATATCTGCTAGTAGGTATTTTGATCCTATTGCACAAAGTCTGAATCGGCCACAAACAATATATATATATCTACTTTACTAGACAGAAGTCTAATAGTTTAGGACAAATAACTGTTGGATCATTTTAGAAAGCTCATTTTGTTACCTATTTTACCTGGACTGAAACTTGAGCTTAACAATGCTAAGGAAAAGAAAAATAGATTCGTCATTTAGGATGGTATCTTTAGTCCTACCGCAATCAATACAAGTATTCAAGCAAAATTTCTAGCTTTACTATAATCAGTTCAGTTATTAGAAAATAACCCTGCCTGATTATTGTTAACATAAAAATGCACTAATTACAAAACAAACATTTTTGGATGCCTCATCTGAGTCATTTATGTTTTCTTCTTCAGACTCTTCACCCCAAGCTTTTGGACCTAGAATGAGAGAAAAATCATTATGAAACATACATCGAAGTTCATTAGAATAAACATTTTGATTAAGCATATTGATTTTAGCACAACCATATGTAACCTCAACTGAAATTTATAAGAGAAACAGACCAAATATATGCAGGACTGCAGCCTCATATTATAGCAACATTCATTTACATAGAAAACAGCATAAAATGTAAAGGGATACACTTGGGAATACTACTACAGTGAGAGCTAAACTGAAGCCCTTCGCCAGTTGCTAAGAATAATGCACGCTCCTACTTACATAGCCTCATTCAGACTTCTATATCTTGGCCAAACTAATGCATGACAGAACCTAGAGAACTGCCTTTTATATAGGTACGGTAGGTAATCACAATGACCTAGGAATCAAAAAGCATTTTTGTTATATACACTTTTCTATTCTTTCTGATTGAAAAGACTAGCCTGGCAACATGGTCCTGCAAATTCATAGCTTCAAAACCATGGAAAACCTGGCACTTTCTTGGATATGGGTTGTTAAGTTCTAGAACTGCCACTTCCATCGACAATTAAAGCCATTGATAGTTTTCAACTGAACACCAGAAGTCTTGATAATCAGAATAAGATACTTTGTTCTGGCATTTCTTTTCAAATTCATCTTGAATTTGATTTCTCTTCCATTCTTTGTCTCAACTGTTACACAGAGATGCAGATATGTGACGAATGTGATTTTCAAAATGGTCAAAGTAACCTTATGTCCCGTCCCCCCCGCCCTTCAAGATATCAGCCAAGTTATTGTATCTGTCTTGGAGATAAAGAAGTTATAAGGTTACATATACCATTGCTTTAGCATGGGAATGACCCAGAAAGCCATAAGGCTGTCTGTACATAATGAGTGAACCGTGCCAGAATTCTGAACAGACTAAGTTCCATTCATAGAAACAGGTACACATACAAGTCCAAACATTCCTATAGTATATAAAGTTTAAAAAGCAAATTAAATACAAGGAGCTAGTAATAAAAGTCTTACCATCAGAAGTATCATACATCAGTGACTTGATGGAGATAAGCTTATCATCTTCAAAGGGAAAGTTGTACTAGTTTAAAAGATAGAGACATTTTCACATGAGCTCAGGATAAGACAAACTATAATACACATGACAGAAACCACAACTTCAGTGAAGATTCTAGTCCTGATGGGTTTCTTTAAACCAAAAGCTCCTATGTAGCAAGATCGACCTAGAATGACGCTAGTTTGCGCTGCAGAGAGCCAAACTAGGCAAAACTACACACCAAACCAGAGGTCCATGAGGAGGCCTTCAGATACCTCCACCCCCCCTTACTGTGATATTCCTACACTCTTAACAGCCATAAGGGAAGACAAAACTCATCAGGTACCGCTCCTTCCTCCCCAAACCTTTGCGAAGGGGAGGGGGACCAATAATCTGTTGAACTACTGCACGTCACCCAGCCCTTTAAAAGGGCAACAATCCCTTTTAGCACAAATAGCAAAGCAAACAGGATTGTACTCATATAGTAAGTCTCTTATTAGTATTCCCTGCACGCCTTTGAGTACGCCAGACGCCCACAGAAAAGGACGAAAGACATCCGAGCCCGGGGGGCGTCGTGCTTGTAACAGACCTCCCATTTTCGCGCACCCCGGAAAGATCGCACCCCGGGTTTCCCCTCAGCCCCTGAAGCCTCCCCTGGCGCCGTGTGAGACCCCTCCCCCCCCCATTTTATCCTGGCCTTCCTCCAAGCGGTTTAGGGCGGAGTGTGCAGTTCTTTCCCCCGTTCGTTGTACTCGCACGTTAAGCCTGTGAAGTAGGCCTTATTCTGACTACTCCGAGCTCACCTTCTCCACAATGCTGGAGATGGACAAGGCAAAGCGATAGGTGCTCCTCTCCAGGTGCCCCTTCATGAAACTGGAGCTGCTCTCGGAGTCGCGGCGTTCGTACCGGCTTCGCCCGCCTCGCTCCTCTTTCCGCCGTGCATGCCGGTGACGCCCGTCACGCTCCTCTTTCCCCCATATTCCCGCTTCCCTGCCGCCTCGCATCGCCATCGAGATGAGGCCTCTACCCACACATAACGAGACAGGCAGGAACTCTGCCATACAGTTCAAATTTAGCGCCGACCCAATCCAAGAAGACTGTATTCCGTGTTCCACATTCCGATAGGTGGCTACCTACGTCGCTTCATGCAAAACGTCCAATCAGATAGATCTAGGTATGCAGCAGGGTTGGTCTGATTTCGTCCAATCAGAGAATCCCGGAATGTCGGGGGGGGGGGTTGAGGGGAATGCGTTGGCTGATTGGCTGGTTTCAGTAAACTCTGGGTCCCGCCTGTCTAGTTCTTAAACAGGCTCCCAACGAGAATGGGGAGAAAGAGTATCTTACCGAGCAACGCAGTGTGAGAATTCTTATTGGATATCCGATCAAGAATTTCGTGACTGGACGCTGGCCCAGAGAAAAGCTGCTGCAGAGTACGCAGAAAGAGTGGAGAAAAAAAATGGATTTGTTAATCTTTCCCAGTTTATTGATTGGGATATTTTTTGTTTTATTTTAGAATGTGGAGAAAAGAGCACTTTCTCCGAAAAGAGGGGATTTATCTCGGAAAAATAAGCAGGTAGGGGAGTTTATTTCGGGGGGGAAATGCAGAGCTTTCCGTAATATTGCTAGTTTCATGATAGTTGTACATTTTCACTATACATACTAATACAAATTGTACTCTGATTACAGGTTGTTCTGCCAGTCACTGAATGTTTTGCTTTCCTTATTTTTCTGGCGAAGATATTCACCTCTGACTGAGTTCTACATTGCTGGAAGAGTTAAGACACGTGCTTAGTTGTCTGTGGCATTATTTACTTTGCATGCTTAGTTTATCTCCTGCCCCTCATCTGGAAAGTTCTCAGGACAGCTCGCAACATAATGAAATAATACACACATATTAAAACCCCATCAAACATGCATCACAAACTATATACAGTAATAACAATTGATTTAAGAACCCTTTTGGGTGCATACCATTTCTGATAAACTTAATATAAATGTGGAAAGAGATTCTGTTTCAGAAAAGAAAATTCTTATGCAGGTGCATGTAGACTTGCTGAAGAATGTGCACACTGTTGTTGGGTTTTTTTGAAAGGAAACAATTGATTGAATTTGGACATGCCAATTAATGTGCTGTTCAGCCCTACTCCTGCAGTTGATGTGCATGTGGGAACTATGTAAATGAACTCTAAAATGAAGTTGTAGTGGGTCACTGACGTGACTGATGGCCATTGATTTACAGTCACTTCCTCCTTGGGCTTTACAATGCATGTGTGATTTTGTTGTTAAGGGACAAGAAGATTGCCTAGGTTTGCCAGTTTTAGAATAGCTGCATTTCTTATCACTTCATCTGCATAGTGACTACAAAATGTGAATACAGCCACAATGCCTTGTGGGTCCTTTCTCCCATGAAAACACACGGTGCTTGTGTATGCTGCTGCACACTTCAGAATAGGTAAAATGTGTTGGAAGTGAAGGTGCTGTCCCCTGCCTCAGCCTCCAGATTGGCAAGAGAGGCTAGATAGCTAGATTGTCACCCTGACCATTCCTTCCTGTGTTTACCCTTCTGCCACTGTCCCCTTTGAAATGTAGATTGTGTCCTCAAGGACAATTTCCTTCCTTCTGTTCACTCTCTCAGATGAAGCTCTCCCTTCTTTCTGCACACACCAAGAGGGACGACATGCTGTCATCTCTTGGAACCATGAGGCAGATGGCCCTCTCGCCATCTGCTTCCATCCTTAGCTAGTAAGTTAGTACTCTATCCTGTCTCTGCTCTTTCCTATCTAATGTGTACTTCTCAGATAAAAGAGAGAAGTATTTCTCTTTTTAAACTTGCATCATAGCTCTGTGCAGCTTTGTAAGCTGAGTAACCTGGTAAAGTGACGCTGCTGTGTCTGTAACTTTATTTATTTATTTATTTGAAGTTTTACCCTGCCCTCCCAGCCAGAGCCAGCTCAGGGCGGCTTACATAAAACAGATAGTTACATTAAAAGCATACATTACCTCCTGATATCACCTGGTATTTTTGGCCACTCTGTGTCAGAATGTTGGACGGGATGAGCCATTGGCCTGATCCAACATTGGCTTTTCTTATGTTCTTATTATGGTTAAAACAATTCTAAAACCACAATAAAGCACTCTGCTAACTAGTGGGTACTGAGCATAAGAACATAAGAGACACTAATGTTGGATCAGGTCAAAGGCCCATCCAGTCCAACACTCTGTCACACAGTGGCCAAAAATACCAGGTGCCATCAGGAGGTCCACCAATGGGGCCAGGACATTAAAAGCCCCCCCCCTGTTGGCCCCCCCCCCCCAAGCACCAAGAAGACAGAGCATTACTTGTCCCAGAGTCCTTATCTATACCTTGTGGCTAATAGCCACTGATGGACCTCTGCTCCATATGCTTATCTAATTCCCTTTTGAAGCTGTCCATGCTTGTAGCCGCCGCCACCTCCTGTGGCAGTGAATTCCATGTGTTAATCACTCTTTGGATGAAGAAGTACTTCCTTTTATCCGTTCTAACCCGACCGCTCAGCAATTTCATTGAGTGCCCACGAGTTCTTGTATTGTGAGAAAGGGAGAAAAGTACCTCTTTCTCTACCTGCTCTATCCCATGCATAATCTTATAAACCTCAATCATGTCACCCCTCAGTCATCGTTTCTCCAAGCTAAAGAGCCCTAAGTGCTTTAACCTTTCCTCATAGGGAAAGTGTTCCAACCCTTTTATCATTCAAGTTCCCCTTTTCTGCACTTTTTCCAAAGCTATAATATCCTTTTTAAGGTGTGGTGACCAGAACTGCACACAGTATTCCAAATGAGGTCGCACCATTGATTTATACAGGGGCATTATGATATTGGCTGATCTGTTTTCAGTACCCTTCCTAATAATCCCCAGCATAGCATTGGCCTTTTTTATTGCAGTCACACACTGTCTCAACATTTTCAGTGAGTTATCTACTACAACTCCAAGATCTCTCTCTTGTTCAGTCTCTGCCAATTCAGACCCCATCAATGTGTATTTATATTTAGGATTTTGGGCTCCAGTATGCATCATCTTGCACTTGGCCACATTGAACTCCATTTGCCACATTGACGCCCACTTGCCCATCCTTGACAGATCCCTTTGGAGTGCCTCACAATCCTCCCTGGTTTTCACCACCCTGAACAATTTCGTATCCACAAATTTAGCCACTTCACTGCTTACTCTCAACTCCAAATCATTAATGAACAAGTGAAAAGCATTGGACCAAGTACTGATCCCTGCGGCACCCCACTGCTTACCACCCTCCACTGAGAAAATTGCCCATTTATACTCTGTTTCCTATTAATTAGCTAGTTTTTGATCCACAAAAGGACTTGTCCTTTTATCCCATGATTTTTGAGCTTACTTAGGAGCCTTTGATGAGGAACTTTATCAAAAGCTTTGTGGAAGTCAAGGTAAACAATATCTATTGGATCCCCTTTGTCCACATTTTTGTTCACCCCCTCAAAGAACACTAACAGGTTAGTGAGACAAGATCTTCCCTTACGGAACCCATGCTGAGTTTGCCTCAATAGGTTTTGTTCATCTATGTGCCTACTAATTCCTTCCTTAATAATGGTTTCCACCAATTTACCCGGTATCGATGTCAGACTGACTGGCCTGTAATTTCCTGGATCTCCTCTGACTAACTGACTACTGGACTAACTGTACCAGTTAACTCCAACAAGATGCCCAGTTGAGTGGTGAGCAACTGTGTTTAGCTTTGTAAGGACTGTAGTGGTCACATTTGTGTGTGTGTTTAGGGCATAAACATGTTCCACTAATATTTACATTGCATTAAGTTTAGTGGCACTAACCTTAATGCAATCAAAATATCGTTTCAGGAAAATCATGTACATATGGATGGTAAATCAATTTAGGTGTGTCATTTGAGATCTAATACTAAAACAGTAGATCACCATCTAAACGTGCTGCAAAAGGGTATGGTGTGGGAGCGGCTTCTAAAATAACGTTTCTTCAGCAAGTGGTGGACTACAATTGTGTCATGTTATGTGCTACAGTTGGAGAAAAACAAGCCATATTAACAAGGTATTTGGCAGATAAAGGTTATCCCAACCCTCTGCTCATTACTAACCTTAGCTGGATTTAGACTGGGAGTCTCACTAGAGGAAGGCCAGAAAGCAATGGGTAGGGGGCAGGCTTCTTAGTGTAGACCCCTCTGCTAACTATTGGTGTAATAAACTTCACAGAGCATATGGAAAAGGGTTCCAGGACACTTTGCCTTTCTCTACCCTGGTATGTATGGATACTTTCAACAACAGAGGATTCCGGGACCTCTTGAATTTATGGCTATATTCAGCTTGCTGTGACTTGACCTAGATAGCCCAAGCTAGCCCAGTCATGTCAGATTTCTAAAGCAGCCATTTTGTCCAAGGTAACTGATCTCTGTCACCCAGACAAAAGTTGTAATTCTGGGTGATCTCCAGCCCTCACCTGGAGGCTGGCAATGCTGGTTCTCATGAAGGAAATGTCTGGTTTGGAGGGTGGAGTCTATGACATTTTACCGGTCTGTAATTCCTCCCCTCCTCAAATCCCACCCTCCCCAGGCTCCACCCCTCAAATGTCCAGGAATTTCCCAACCAGGAATTGGCAACACAGTTTCCTTCCCACTCAACAGCCAGCCTACCTTTATCTGCCTCTCTGTCTTCAGCTTTCAGTTCCGCTCCCCCCCCCCCCCCCCCTTTCACCGAGGAAAATTACAGTCTTTCTCCACAGTGGGGACCAAAGCAGCTTACATTATTCTCTCCTCCTTTTTATCTGCACAACAACCCTGTGAGATTGGTTATGCTGAAAGTATGTGACTGGTCCAAAATCACCCAGTCAGCTTCCATCGCAAGATGGGGATCTGAACCAGGGTCTTGCAGACCTTTATCTGAAGCTCTGACTGTTACATCACACTGGGTTTAATAGGGTGGCTGCTGATGAGGAGCTGGGCCTACTTGAGTCATGCAAATTAGGTGGTATCAA